CTTGAACTGTGGTTTGGAAACAACATTGGAAATGATTTTCTCTCAGAATTGTAAAGACATGTTCCATTGTCTTCCAATTTCATTTGTTGCTATGGAGAAATCTGATGTCATTCTGATTTTTGAGTCTTTTCACAAAACTTCATTTTTTTCCTCTGGGTGTTTGTCGAATATTCCTTATCACCCCAGTTTCTGAAATTTTATCACGTTGTGCCTTGGTGTGGTTCTTGCTTTGTCCAGTATACTAGGCTCAGAAAACACTTTCAATGGGAAACTTATGTTCTTTAATTCTACACAAATACAATTGAATTATTTAGTTGATTTATTTTCTTGTTCCCCAGATGCAAAAGCATCTGTTTAACCTATGTGGAAATTGAGAACCACAAAATTTATTCACCCTTGAGAATAGCATTTTTTTCCCCTAAAAAGTGAAAATGACTACAACGTTTTTGCTAGTACCTGAGTTCAGGGACAGAGCTCAATTCCTTTGTCCTTGATGCTGGGCAGCCACTAGTAACTTGTATGACCTATAGAATGCCACGGAAATAATATTCGAGGGCTTCCAAATTTAGAGAATAAGAAAGCTAGTAACTTCTGCCTGGATGTTTTAGAGCATCCTTTCTGGGAACCTTGACTCTCCATGTAGGAAGTCCAACTACTTTGAGACTGCTAAGTGCAGAGAGCACATGTAGGTGCGATTACTGACAGTGCCAGCGACACCAGCCTTCCCGCTATCCTGGCCATGGTGCCAACCATGTGAGTGAGTCCTCCAGACTGAGCCATCTGCTATCTGAGGCATCTGAATGCCACTAAGTGACCTTTGTGATGCCAATTGGAAGAGTAGAATTGCCCAGCAAAGCTCTGTCCAAACTCAGACCCACCAAAACCATGAAATAGAGTAAAATGGTCACAGTTTTAAGTCACCAAGTTTGGGGGGAGTTTGTTAGGTAGATTTTGATATCCAGAACAACATGACCATGCCTGCTGTGGCCCCACTCCAAAGATCCTCGGCTTTAACCTCTCCAGAGATTGTGTTCTCAATTTTGCACCCAGCGGCACAGGGGCTACATGATGTTGGAAAGGGGATGGAGGAGACTGACTGTGTGTGTATATATATATATTTTTTATTTATATTTATATTTATATTTATATATAAAGATACATTTATATAACTAAAAATATATTTAATATATATTAAATATACATATTATATATATATATATATAAATACCCTCCTGTTCTTAGTCTTAACTATATACCCACAATCAGAGGCACTTGGTGCAGCAAATTCCTACATATTCTGAGATATTTCTTGTTCCCTTATTTTTGTGAGATTAAAATATAATCTATTATTGCTTTAGTTGGAATTCCTGAGGGAACTGGCTAAGGCAAATGTATTCATTCTGCTGTCTTTAAAGACTCCTTTGAGTCTTTAATTTCAACAATTATATTAATTTTTAAAATACTCTGTCTTAGAGCAGGTTTCTTAGAAGCAGAAGCTGAGATAGGGATGTTCGAGTAAATGTCTTATAAGGGAGTATTCTCAGGAGAAATGGTAAGTGAGAGAAAGGGTAGCTTGGGAAGATACAGAGCTGATGCGCTTTCTGCGGAAAGTTAGCCTAAGTTAAGGGACCTCTGGTATAGGAAAGGAATCATGGATTTGTTCCAGACCTTTTGTTATAGGACAGGGAGAAGGGCAGCCCAAACCCCGCAAACCTGCCTATTCTAAATGGGTTCTGCCATCCGCCGCATCAACACAAAACATATGAGACTTTTTAATGGAAAGGAACTTTAATACAACTAGGAAAACAATACAGGAAAGGCAAAGAGTCTAATTTCTAAATGAAGCACCCAAAGTTACCCATCCCCTCGTGGGTAAAACTCCATCCATATGGGATCGGCCCAGAACAAGGCCCCAAAGCCTGCCACAAGTCTAAAGCATCTTCCAGTGGGGACCCACAGAAAAGGGTCAGAAACAACCAGACAAGCCCGGAAGGAAAAGAGCAAAATCAACATCAAGATAAAAGCTGCCATTGTCACCTCCCCATGGGTCTCACCCACATCTGTGTCATCCAGTCCATGACCAAAAGACAAGCGCAGTTTCTTCACGTGTCTCTAGGCTCCATGTGCCTCCTCCAGGTCTCCTGGCTCCATCCTGCTTCCTTCCTTCCTCAGTCTCTTTCTGCAGCTTCTCCTCTTCCTGCTCAGCTCCACCCTCCCTTGGGTGGGGCAGGGAACCTGGAACCTCCCCCTTTCCTGGGGGCCACCCTGTTACAATCCCCCCTTTTAATTTTTATTCCACCATATCTATGGTGGCACAGATCTCATGGTGTAATCTTAGGAGACAGTCTTTTTTCAGGGTTACAATGTGTGTAAGAGAATCAACAATTAGTCAGCAGCATTGTCCATGAATGTCCAGTATGACAGTTTCATTACTTAAAAATAGTCCATTATCCAAGCCAAAGAAAAAAATTTGGAGCATTGGCTAAAACAAGATAGCAAATATAATAAAATCACAGGGAAAGAATGTTAAAATGGTTCAACTTATGCAAAAACGAATTCTCTCAACCTTGATCCCAAAGTTTAACAGCATAGCAAAAGTTTGCAAATTAAATCTACTTTTAAACCATTTTTTATATTTTTGCATAAAATCACAGGGCAGAAATAACTAACAGCAATTTTTAGCTGGCTTCGTTGGAATACTCCATATAGGATTTGTTGTAGAGCAACCCCGATACAAAACGGGGTGCCTGGCTGTGGGTCATCACCCGCGCGCTTAAAAGGACTTATCAATGCTCTACTGCAGGCACACGTGAAAGGTTAATAAAAGGTTTATTTACAAGGGAAGGGGAAATGAGGAAATGTACAGCTCTGGGAGAAAAAGTGGGAGACAAAGTTTTGAATGAGTCCTACCCTATCCGCCGATCAGGAATCCCAAAATGGCGCTCTCAGAGTTGGCCGCCAGCCAGGAGCGGTGAAGCCAGGAGGCAAGCGATCGCGAGCTAGAGAGAGCCCAAGGCCCACGTGTTTGGTTTTTTATATCCAACCTGGCTGCCCAACTCCACCCTCAGGTCCCAGCCACCTTCCCTTGGTGGTGATGGGATTTGTCTTTCCCAGAGTCTTGACGGCTTTAGTCTGGAGTGGGGGTGGGGTCCACAAAGCCTGTATGGGATTAACTCAGGACATCATTTCCCCCTAACAGATTCAGAGCGAACTGTTGACATCCGGTCTGTGTAGACTTCTGGAACAAGTTGGTCTCATCAGACTCCACCTGGGCTTCCTTATGGCACTGGCTACCATAAGCGCAAATGTGATTTTTGGTTTCTCCAGTGTGTTTGTTTCATATGTCGATTTGCTGTTGAAAAACTGGCTTGGGCTTTGTGAAGATTCTGTGTGTTTGTGTGTAATTTGTTTGTAGTGACTTGCTAAGAGATTTTAATTTGTGGAAATTTTTTCTGTGCCAGTTTTACTCAAAAGATTAGGCAGTACATTGGACCATGTGGCCAGATCAAAGATGGCGTCTGAGGCCACTTGGAGTGCTCTTGTAAAATTCAGAGGTTCTTGTTGCTAGGACTTTGGAACTTTTTTTTTTTTCTTTTTGTAATCTCTGCTGTCTCATTAGCATTTCTAAAGGCAATAATGGTTCTTCTGTGGTATGTTGCTTTGTCTTTGGCTACTTCCTGCTCTCTGCCTGATGGATTTTGCAAGCCAATTCTGTTACACTTTCACAACCCACAGAAGTTAGCTTCTGACTGATTTTTCAGCCTGGTCTGAGGGCAGTTATAGGGAAAAGGGGTACCTGTGAGCATGGTGTACCCTCCTAGCAAAGGTAATCTCTGCAGGGTGCAGATAGAATCAGCCCCATTCCTAACATCTATCTAAGATAGCCTACTTGTTTTTTTTTAAAGATTTATTTATGCATACAAGAGCTGGGGTGCAGGCCAGAGGTAAGGGGATGTGGGGGGGTGAGAGGATTCATCAGAGACTGGGTGGGGAGCAAAACAGGTGGATCTACTGAAGTACACTGCTGAGGGGAGCATCCGGCAAGACTGGAGAGGTCTGCTGCGCCATGTGGATCACCCCCCTGGCCAGGGATCCCACTCATGCTGCAGTGGCTGCTGAGACTTAACCCCTTGTGCCACCAGGGAGGTCCCTATTGTTATTTTTTAAGGGATACAGCAGTCTCTAATCTCTCTGAAGAAATTAATTATTTCATTATTTTCCCTCTCTTTGTCTTGTTAATTTTGTTGCATCAAGGTTAGTTCATAGACTGAAGATCAGAAACTAGAAGCACAGCAAAGGGGCAGAACCAAGTCTAGAATCCAAATCATTCTGATTCTTGCTCTTAATCGCGTTAAGCTATCTTCGTTAGCTACATCTTAAAGAAATAATTTAATGCTACCTCACTGGGTTAAATCCAACAGTCATTTGAATTCTGGTCTCTTGGATACCAAACACACTCCCTGAAACTACTTACCTCCTGTTACAGAATGAAACAGGACTTTGCCTGTAGACCTCAACTGGAACTGCTCCTAACTCCTGTCTCTAAAAGATTTCCCAGATTGCTGGGTACACAAGGAAAGTGAACTCGGTTTTGCTCAACGGAGATGTGGAACTACTTTCTGCAATGTATATTTTGGTGTGAAAGAAGGAAATAAATTACTGTCCACTTTTGCAGCCGCAGGTTCAGCATGACTAAGTAGAGTTTCGCAGGGAGAAGGCGGCCGAGCTCCCAGCTCCCACGGAAGAGCCGGATGCAGCAGTGAGCATGAGGAGAGGCCCAGGGGCTCCGCCCGCCCAGGGTGTGGGGGCGCCCAAGCCTGGGAAAAGCGAGAATCCAGTCTCGCCGACTCTGATGGGGCTGGAACTGGGCTGGGCGGTACCCAGCGAATTGTGCGACCCGGGCAGGAGAACTGGCAGGGACGTTGCAAGAGCCGGACGGGTCACCTCCCAGGGCGCAAGCACCTGCCCCGGGTAGTCCCCTGCTTGGGGGCGAGGGCAGCCACTCCCTGGGCGCCAGGTAGTTTTCCGGTCCCGTGGGCTGAGGGACTACCGGGAACTCCCGCTCAGTCTCCACCCCGAAGTGGGGCGGGTCCGTCCAGGATAAGACCCGCTGCCGGGACCAGAGGAGGGTGTGACGCGCGCTGCCACAGGGGAGGATCCCAGCCCGGTCTCGGCTCGAGCGGTAAGTGGGCCCTGGACCAGCGGACCTGGGCTCCGGGAAGGGGCACGGCAGCCCTGGAGCGCCTCCTGGGCACGGCTAGTCCTGCGCGGCTCTCAGGAAGGGGTATCCCATGCCGGCCTGCGGGCGGGTCGCGCGCCGCAGGGTGGAGCAAGAGTCGACGGGCCAAAACTCGGTCCCAGTGTGTAATGGGAGTGACACGGCCCTAATCCACCAGCACCTTGCAAAAGAACCTCCTGAGCAGTTTATACAGTTCAGAAGGCCTTGACAGAAGTTATTTATTGAGTTCATGTGCCAAGCGCTTTGTTGGCTTTGGATATTAAAAAGAAAGGATTGAGTTAAAATTACATGGAGCTGACTCAGTCTAACATCTAAGTTTTACTTTTTAATTCTTACTTTGTTTCTTTTAAGAAACTTAACTTTAGTGCCTTCTTTTTCTCTCGTGTTTCTAATGCCCTCTGCATAATGTCTGGCACATGGGAATCTGGTGGTATGAGATCTGTGACTTGAATCCGTGGGCATGGCACAGTCTCTGTTTTGTCATGAATTGGACTAGCTGGAAACTTGGGGCCCACAGAAGCTATTGCTTTTCAACAATCTGTCTAACTTGAAGTGCTCCCCAAATTGATGCAATTTTCTGTGAGCTGTTTGGAGAATTGTGGGTCCTGAGGGAGCCACATCTTTCATGAAAAGTGGATATTTTCTCTCTCTAGCTAACAGAGGGAAGAATGAATAAATCACCTCCTCCAGATTATCCATCCCACTGCCCATCAATTTTAGAACTCCACTTTCTCTTTACATTGCAAGTAACTCTAATGATAGCCCCATCCTAGCTATTTCATTGCCAAGAACTTCTCAGATGATAGAGGTGGAAAGAAAAAGGAGAGAAAAAGGACAAGAATGAGAAAATGGGTAGCTGCTTTCTTCCCAGAGCCTATCTGGCCAGGCCAGGTCTCCTCTATTCTGCTCAGGTCAGATTTCTGTTGCTTTAGGGACATATGCACGCATATGCTGACATCTAGCCACTCATTTGTTTTCCTAACGTTGAATATCTACTTGTGGACTAAGTCTGCTCTTCTCCAAGGAAGATGGGATGGAACTTGGAATGGTAAACAGTGTGCCAGATTCAAAATAAATGAAAGGGATTTTAATTGGGTGTCAATTCTACCTAAATATTTGAAGATAAAAACCTTTTTGTTTTAAAACAGTCACAGGATATATTTTGGAGCAAATACCTTTTTAATATAAACAAGAAACTTGAAAAAAAATTTTTAACTGGGACTTTGATATGATAGTCCCAAACCTAGACTTGAGGAAACTGTTTCACTGCAATTAGGACTATTCATAAAGGCAGTTTGATAGGTGCTACATTATTCTCCCTTGAGGCACTTGAATAGCAGCCTTCCTAGGTTGTTCATTTAATCTTAATTTCAGCCTGCGGCAGAGTTATTAACTTTGTCTTACAGATGAGTATCCACATTGTGGTTCTTGGTCAGGGTCAGACCATCTATAAACAGATTTATTATCCTCTCTGCCCTATTGTGACTCTATTAGTTCTTGGTTCATAGTGATTTAGGATGTGAATTTGTGACATCCCTGGTTTAACTAAATCTTGACCAAATGTTTTTATTTTCCTTTTCAACTTTTTTTCTTGTCAAGCTGACATGTGAGATATGGTTGAAAGAACTAGAGGGCCTCTCCGGTGGCACAGTGGGTTGAGGGCTGTGCTGTGAAGCTGTCCGCAGCCTCTGTAGCGTGGGTTCGATTCCCGGCTGGCCAGGGAGATTCCCACATGGCCTGGCAGACCTCTCCTGTCTTGCCCGCTACTCCCCTCAGCAGTGTTTTCCATCCGTCTGCCTGTTCTGCTCCCCGCTCTGTCTCTGGTGAATTCTCCCCCCTTCCCGTACCTCTTGCCTGTACCCCAATTCTTGTATAAATAAATGAATCTAAAAAAAAAAAAAGAAGAACTAGAGCTGTTTCAACTAGGGGGGGAAGATTGCATAGGGTGTGGGACACATGTTAAAGACCCAAAATTCTTGAGGGGCTTTGCATGTGAATGAGGGAATAAACTCACTCTCTGGTGTTGAGCAGAGTTGGATAGGAGTTTTTTGGATAGTGGTTTTTGTTTGAATTGAAGGAAGTAGATTTTGACTCTCACAGACCAGGTGGCCTTGGAGTTGATGAGAACTCACTCATTGGAGGTGTCTAAGCAGAGGCCCCGCAACCCCTTTAAGCTGACCTAAGATGACTTCTAAAGCCATAATTCCACGACTTCAGGGTACATCAAAATCTTCCCAGAAGCTTACGCAACATGTGGATTCTTGACCCATTCCCCCAAATTTTGATCCATTGTGACAGGTATAGCATCCAGGAATCTGCATACCTAATTTGTCTCATTATGATGTATGGCAGTGGGATGAAAAAGGATTATTCAGAGTCCATGTGCAGAACAATGAGAAACCTAAAGGGACTACACCATGAAGGTGCTGCCCAGTTCAAAGGGCAGTCTCGTTTTTATTTAGAATCAAACAGAAAATAAAAAAAAAAGATCAAAGAAGCAAGGAGGCAAGCGGGGAATGCACCAGTGTGTGGAGGATGGAGTGAGACAAGGTTGAGAAATAGGGAGAAAGTCAAGGAAAGTTCCAGTGTTTGTGCTACTCTAATCATAACATCTATTGCTATTTCTGCAATGCTGTTTTCAGCGTGTATAGATCCTCAAACCAGAACTTTTGCCCTGAGAGGTTCCTTATCTCAAACTTTCCCTGTTTCTGCATACTGAGAGGCACTGAATAGTCAAAGCAAAGAATAATCAAGGCAAAGACACAGAACAGTTGAGGCACATGATAATCCAAGCTCCCACACTAATAGACATCCTAGATCACTATAATTCTGGTGTTTCTTGGACTTCACTATGAGAAACATAAATATGTGCATGTTTGGTAAATCAACTAAAGCATTAACAAAAACAAAAGACTTAAGGGAACTTAGTCCTATCCTTATGCTGTATATTCTAGGTAATGTGGTAAATGGTGGACTTGTTCCCATTGCTCTTTATTTCACCTGTCATATCAAATTCACCTAGTTTTACAGTGTTTAGTAACCTCCCCTCAGCAGTGTATTTCAGTTGACCTGCCTGTTCTACTTCACACTCTGTTTCTGGTGAATCCTCTTACCGCCCACCCCTCTGGCCTGTACCATAGCTCTTGTATGAATAAATAAATACATTTTTTAAAAAAGTATTGACTTTTGTGCCAGCAATTCGAATTGTAGGGATTTATCCTGAAGATGTACTTGGATATATGTGTAAAGACATGGCAGCCTAGTTTGTAGCAGCATAATTGAAAAGGACCTAAATATATGTCAGTAAGGGACTGGTTAAATTAAGGAACTTTCAAGCAATGCAAAACTATGCAAATGTTAAAAAGTGATGCAGTGTTAGGAGCAGATGTAGAATAATATCATAGTTACTTTTTTAAAAAAGCAAAATATAGATTTGCGTGGTATATTACCATCCTGTATGTAAGAATGATGAAAGCTATCTATATATTCTTTTATGCTTGTTATATTTTTATATGCTTATTCATGCATTAAGTACTTCTGAGAGGATATGTAGGAAAAATATAACACTGGTTGCCAAAGGAGGAGGGGGGTTGAATTTCATATAGACTAATCACTTTATACATTTTTATACTATTTGGGTTTTTTTTATCATGCTCCAATTGTATCAATTTTTAAAAATAGTTACCAATATCACCTGCCTGTTTAACATTGTTTGTGAAAAGGAGGAATGAAACAGAAATGAAGAATATATAATTATCAAGTTTTCTAACCTCAGAATTAATATATGATCTTGTACTTTATTTTTTTATATAAAAAGAACTAAGAATGAGGTAAATTAATTAGCAATGGCTCATTTTTTTTCTTACTTTCAATTCTGTTATTGGTTCATTTGGCTCTCCTTCACCTGGTTCCAAATGGAACCTAAGGTGCCTCAAATTGCGTGGTGGGGAAAGCTCTGTATTCAGATGGCTTGATTGGTTCCATGTGTCTTTATCTACAAAAGCAGAGACAAGAGGTAGATGGGATCCATCACAGCCTATATAATAGATAGGCCAGCTGGAGCAGGGCAGTGATGGCAGACCATGCACACTGAGGTGGCTGGCATTGGCTTCGGAGTTTGGACCTCCTCTTCAGCCTGACTGTGCATTATTCTGTGAGGGCTCTGCCTTTCTGCATGCTGGGACCTCTGTGCTGTAGGAATGAATAGTGTTCACCAAGCACTTACTATGAGCCCAACTCTGTGCCAAGCACCAGGCATGTATTTTATTAAAGTTTCACCCATATTGAGTGGGTGCTACTGATTATCCATTGTACAGATGAGGGAATTTAGGCATAAAGGGGTTGAGTAATTTATTCAAGGTGACATACTAACAACTGGTTAAACCAAGATTTGAACTTGGCAGCTGATTCAGTATCTTGTGCTTTTCTACTTTGTTGTATAATAGGTTAAAAATGGGGGATCAACCTGATAAAACAGGGTTGGGAGATTAAACTGTTTTTTTCAGAGAAGAGGAGGTAGAATCCATGTCCAAACCACTTGTCCAAAATGAACTTGATGTTCTTTTGAACCACTCTAAGTATCCAGGAGGGGTCCCAGCTGATAGGTGAGGAGTAGAGAACAGACATTGAACCTGGACAATGTATTGCTCTTGACAGGACTAATTCCTAGGGGAGCAAGTCTTGGGGCAGCATCTAAAGGCAGGAGCAACAACTCAGTATTTGGAGAAGGGTCTTTTGGAACTAGGCATTGTGTCCATGGCCCTTACCAAATGGACAAAGAAAGATTCATTCATTTTTTTAATATGATGTTACAGACTCTAGATATTCAAGGATGAAACACACAACCCCATCCTTAAGGAAATAAACAAGTAAATCAATAATTCAGAAATCATGGGACTGTATGAGAAATAATTTGATATGTTATATACAGACTACTCATGGAA